AAATGGAAGCCCTAGCCGCCCTTATATAGAGTTCGAGGCCAGAGCTTGTTACAAAGAGAAGGTTCCCCCGACCGAAGGGCCGAGAGCCTGAGGGAGGTCCTAGCTAACTTGGATTGCAAGCTACACCGTCTTTTGACGCTTGCCCGGGCGTGGATGTCGTCATGGTCTTGTAGCCATGTCACGACAGGGTCTGACGTTGTGCTACTGTGTTGGCCGTGGCAGCACTGTAGCCATGGTGATAGTTCGTCAACTGTTCTGTGCAACGCGGCATCCTTCATGGTCTTCGCCGTTGTCTCCAGGTTACCCAGGATGTCGTACTCGTAGTAGGTAGCCGCCCTTGGTCGTCATTCGCCTGGTCGCTTCATTAGGATGAGGGCCACGACCCCTATTGTTAGGGTCGGGGTTCTCCGCAAGTCGGGAAGGTCTCTAGGTCGAGACCCTTGCCATGGATCCCATCCCATAGTGGGTGGAATCGTACACGCGTCTTGTCGGTCCATATTCGGATGGTGGGTTTCGTACCCGTTGCCATCATTGTGTGGTGCTGTCTGGTTGGTGCGGCGTGAGTTTCGACGCAGGCCCATACGCTTGGACCTGGAGTGGTTGGCGATGGTATGGGTCCTTGTCGGACGAGACGGAACCCACATCCTTAGGGTCGGACGAGACGTAGCCCGCGACCTTGGGCGAGACGGAACCCGCGTCCTTGGGGTCGGGGAGACGGAGCCCGCGGCCTCGAGGTCGGACGAGACGGAGCCTGCGACTTTGGGCGAGATGGAGCCCGCGTCCAAGGGGTCGGGCGAGACGGAGCCCGTGGCCTCGAGGTTAGGCGAGATGGAGCCCACGACCTTAGGGTCAGACGAGACCTTTTAATACGTCTTGAGCCATCTGAAGAAGTCAGCGTGGGTGCTAACTTTCTTACTTTGGATATCCCTAATATCGATACCCGACGAATATATACACGGAGGTCCTGGCGAAAGCTTAATTAATTAGGTGTCAATCGTGAGCGGCTGAGAGTGAGAGGAGAGGACCACGAAACGACAATTTGGGCCAACGCTCTCTTTAACTCCAGAGAGCGAACTTGCATGCCAGAGACTAGGCATGCCGTGCGGACGGGTCACGGTCTTCTCGTGGCGCGCACAGGGGCTTTCCGGCCATCTCCATGCCGTCCGCGTCCGTTCCGTTGATCTCTCTCTCGCACCCACAGATCCCCGTCCCCGGTACTGTGCAAAGGCCTTCCCGTCGCCTTCATCTGATTGCACGCTAGTAGCTCCTAAAGGCCGGTCCAGGTCCCTGTCCGTGGACCCGTGGGAGATTAACGGCAGGCCCACGCCGGCCGTAATGATTTCCGGCCTTTACGTTGACACTACTGACGGTGAGAGAGAGTGAGAGGTGCAGCTGTGGACGGCAAGAGGTCACTGGCGCGTCGCCCGCTTTGGACAGTATACGGAGCTTTCAGACTGCGGTAGCTAGCTCACGACACGGTCGATTGATGATCGTTGATCGGCCGTCCGGCCTTCTCAGCAAATGATATACATTAGCGCCATGAACACACAGGCAGGCACATGATTACTACGGCCTACGGCACAGACATCATTAAGTAGCGCGATCAACTAGTTGCACCAAACTGTTGTATATACACTTGTACTGTCAAGCTAGCGTGGTGATAGTGGCTTGAATTTGTGACGTTGTTGTCCTGCAAAAACTGTGAGGAGAGGAGTACTACTATACTCCCTCCGGTTCTCTAAAGCAAATCGTTTTGAGGTTGTCTTAAGTCAAACATTTTAAATTTTGATTACAAATAACTTCTTTTGGGTTGAGTTTGAAAATATGAAAGTGATTTAAGTAGATTCATCTCGAAATGTAGTTTCATAAAAGTATATATTGACTATATTTTATAAATATTTTATAGCAAAAAGTTGCAGTCAAAATCATTTCTTAAAGACCATGTCAATGTTCAAAACGACTTGCTTTAGAGAACCGGAGGGAGTATATGGCGTAGTACGTAGTAGTATGTTACTGGTAGTTGTACGTACTACGTAGGTTAAGAAGCACGATGGCACTCTAGCGGTCTAGCCAGCCAGTGAAATGCATGTCACCATCGTACTGTTAGACTTCTTAGGACTCAATCGAGTCAAAATTCCAGTAGTCAAAGATCCTAATGCACAGAGAGGCAGAGAGAAGGGGAGTGAGAGGTTGCAGACCATCGAAGGCCGTAGTGGTCGAAGCGCCGGCCGCGGCCTCGTTGGCGGACGCCATCTGCGCGTCGGCAGCGACGTTCGGTGGAGAGGGAGGAGTCGGTGCAGTGGCGTCCTTGGCGACGGCGTGTGCGTCGGGTGGCGTTGCCGGCGTCGGTGGTGCTTCCCGTCGCTGGCAGCGCCCCTTCTCAAGATCGGGTTTAGGGTTAGGATGTCGGTGGGGTGACTGGCGGCGCGGTGAACCTCGTACTGCGAGCCCCGGCCCTCACCTTTCCTTTATAGCGCTGTGCGACGGGGGCCCACCAACCATGTAGGGTTGGGCGCCCCCGATCAGGGCGCGAGAACAAGGCCCAAAAAGGCCGTTGGGCCTAACTGGTGGGAGATCAAACCTAACATTCTCCCCCTTGATCTCTCATCTATTCTTCGTTCTTTAATTTCATACTCAAAACTTTTAATTCATATTTTTCTTGCTACCATCCTATTTCATCACAGATTAGTGCATAGAATTGTCCCATCGTCACAGCAATTAGTGCCGTTAGACTAACAGCCACAATACACTTCTCCGTTTTGAAACGTAAACTTTCTTTAGGTCCTTCGTATGTTCGGGAATCATAGGCTTTCCCTTAAACCCATGCCGGCTACGTGTTCTCTGAACACGTTGGGTGGTAAGCCCTTTGTGAGCGGATCCGCGAGCATTTTCTCTGTACTTATATGCTCAAGATTTATTATATGATCCCGAACTTTATCTTTCACAACATAATACTTTATGTCAATGTGTTTGGCAGCACCACTTGATCTATTGTTGTGAGCGTACTATACCGCTGGATTGTTATCACAATACAATCTCAGTGGTTCTTTTATATCATCAATCACTTTCAATCCGGGTATGAATTTCTTCAGCCAATTCACCTGCCCTGTTGCCTCATAGCATGCTACAAACTCGGCATACATTGTCGAGGATGCAGTTACGGTTTGTTTGGAGCTTTTTCACGATATAGCCCCTCCTGCGAGAGTAAATATATATCCTGATATGTATTTTCTTTCTTCTCCCGCATAATCAGAATCTGAATACCCCTCTATCTGTAGGGAATCAAATCTTCTATACATAAGCATGAGGCCTTTCGTACCCTGCAAATAACGCAGGACTTTCTTCACTAAATTCCAATGTTCAATTCCTGGATTCTTTAGATATCAGCCAAGTAACCCGGTAACAAAAGCTAAGTCAGGGCGTGTACACACTTGAGCATATTGTAAACTTCCAACAGCTGAAGCATACGATACCGCTTTCATTCGATCAATTTCATATTGGTTCTTGGGACACTGATGTTCCCTAAACCTATCGCCCTTGACTATAGGAGCAGGTGAAGGACTGCACACATGCATACTAAATTTCTTCAGGACCTTTTCTATGTATGTCTTTTGCGATAATCCTAGAACCCCTTTTCTCCTGTCTCGGTGAATCTCTATTCCTAAAACGAACGAGGCCTCACCGAGATCTTTCATATCAAAGTTTGAGGACAAGAATTTCTTCGTTTCCATTAGTAGATTGATATCACTACTAGCAAGCAAGATATCATCTACATACAAAATTAGGAATATGTACTTTCCATTCTTAAACTTTGCATAAACGCAATTGTCCTCAACATTTTCTTCAAACCCAAAACCTTTTATCGTTCTATCAAACTTCAAATACCATTGTCTTGAAGCTTGCTTCAATCCGTAGATTGATTTCTTCAGGCGGCATCCCATATTTTCGTTTCTTTTTACGACAAAACCTTTCGGTTGTGCCATATTAAGGTCATGAGTTCAAATCTTATGTCAAACATATTTTTTAAGAAAATTGGATTTTCATTTTTTTTAAATTTCCAATTTCCCGATTTATATCAAACATATTTTTTAAAATTTTGGATTTGCATGCGTACTGGATGGGAGAGGGGTTGTCACGTCCTATTTGTAAAAGTATTGTGAGGCGGACCAACACAAAAGATTGATTGCTTAGCTGGTTATTGGGTAACAAGGCGTGGCCTTGCGGGAGGTTCCAGGTTCGAACCGGAAATGCTATTGTCTTTGTCGTAATTAACATTTGATTTTAAGAAGGCACGGCCGGAGGAGTATTGGACTAGAGGTAGTATTTGCGTACAGGATACAGATCACTTCGCGAGAATACAGATTACTTTGCCTAGCAGTAACGGATGCAGCTTCAAACAGTTAGTAATCGTTGCCACGTTATACCTTGCAATGAATAAATTATGTTGCTAAAGGGGGTTTCTCTTGTAGTGGGTCAGGCCAACTCCGGCGAAAACGAGAGCACGCATGCCGCGGCACGTCAACAGTAAATCGAGTCAAGCACGCACAGGCCTCCCCCACGTTCAGTGTTTCCCACCAAACAGTAACACACAGAGGGAACTCCAGGTCCGACCAAACATTCACGGAAGATAGATAACGCGCAAATCTCTACTACTAGCTAGTACAAACTACTCAAGACTCAAAGAGCCGCTCAATTCAATTACTTGCCGTAATAACTTATGTGCTCTTCTCGCTATCTCCGCCACGCACCCGTGAACCCGCAAATCATAGAGGGGCGAGATGAGATGCGAGTGAAAAAGAGCGGGCCGGTCAGCTAGGTTTGAACTCTCTCCTACTACACTCCTACTTGCCGGGTTACTCGCTCCTCTCTTAAATCACTGGTGTTTAATCATTTCTGCAAGCTTAAATGAGAGATCCATCTGCTGTACGTGCTCATCAGGTACGTTCGTGAAAAAAAAAGAGAGATCGAGATCGAAATGTTTGCCGTCCCTTCATCGATCGATGGGCGAGCTCTCTGCTCGCCACAGCCGGCGCTGGTGGGGCCGTTTCGCGGCCGTCCTTTGCCTGTGCGCCTTCTGCAAACCAGGTACGGTGCATGCTCATCATCAGCCCATGTGCACCCGCCAAGGAGCTAGCACAGTACAACACACGCGCATATATAGCTCGTCAACTGATAGTTACCATCTAGTTATAAGTAGTTAACGCGTCAAAGTCTATCACGTGTTCATGTCTAGATCCCGCATGGCATGCAGATGATCTCCCGATGGATCCACTGCCGAACTTGCTGCCGACGAGGTCGCTGCAGTGCTTCGACGACATGGCATGTGATGTGATGCCGTGTCGTCGTCACGCACCAGCTCTCCGTGTCGTCGTCACGCACCTGTGTGCTCTGTTGACCCCGTGACATGCTTAAGCGCATGCTGCATGCCCGCAGGTGTACAGCTGCTGCGAGGGCGCCTACAGGCTGAACCCATCGGGAATCATCGCCGTTCCCATGGCGGTGGACTACTACTGCGGCGGCGCGTGCGTGGTGGAGACGGAGCACGTGCTCAACTGCGTGGCCAGCGCCCTGGACGGCTTCGCCTTCTACACAACGGGGCCTCCGTGGAGGACGTGAGATACGCACTCCGGCGGGGCTGCAGTCACACCGTCAGAAGAGGTCTCCTCCCCCCAAGCTTCTCGGTTCATCTCTCTAGCTAGGCCTAGTACCAGCCCAGATCTAGCTTGGGATCGAGACTACTACTGACATGCTCGTGTTCGTGTGTCTGCGCAGGCGACTTCAACGATTTGGAGCCGCATCTGGGAGACTACCCTGACATCTATGGTGACGACGAAAGCAGCTTTGGCAGCAAGGTTGCAGCTCCTCTGAGGTTGCTCGCGTTTCTTGGCGGTGCGGGGCTGTTCCTCCTTGGTCCTTGAATCTTCAATCAAAAAATCAACTAGAAGGACAGAAACTTGACATAGAAGTCCTTCATGATCTTGTTATTCATCATATATTGGTGGAATACAGTAACCCCATTTCTTGAGCACACAATACGTACCGGTGACTCCAAGATCGCGCTGCTTGCAACAATTGCAAACAAAATGGCTCCATCTCTCTCTACGCGAACCATCAACATCATAACTAACAACTTGGATAGAAGCAGTGTCAAAAAGAGAAGGATCATGATGAGCACCTTGGCGGCCATCCATCTCACGGGTAGTAGCATCATGACAACAAACCTCTTGATCAAATTCTTCGTGATGACCGGCGAACTCAAGACGCTCTAGGCGTTCATGCACTTGGCAAATTTGTTCTCCCAAACCAAGGATCACATCATAGTGACCGGGCTTTGTTGGTTGACGTTGTTGTTGCTGGAATTCGCTTGATGGCATCAACAACCAGCCATCTGAATACCAAATGATAAGGATCGACTAGTGGAAGGGTATGTGATGGTGGATTAGATAAAAAACTAGAATTACTCGGAGAACACTCAACAAGATCAACTAGCACAGAAGGTTACTCTACCTGTTTTTGAACTAGGATAATTCAGATATCACTCGACGAGATCAACTAGCACCAGAGGTTTCTCAAAGAAGAGCCATGCTCAATTCTCACAATTATTGAATCCCAAGTCTCTTCAAGTGATAGAATACATGGATCATTTATACTAGGAACATTCATCCTAGTTGGGTATGAACAAAAGCATAAGTAAAAGCAAGAGGAAGATCGTATTGGTAGAGAAATTGAGGAGTCATCGGCATCTCCCGTAGCCACAAAACAGCCTAAGTAGCTTCCACTAACATAGCCATAACTCCCATCTCGAATGTCTAAATGATGCACTGTTTGTTGCTTTGTGAACTAGACTCGTATATGTTTCTATAGCATATGAATTCTGAAGTGTCGGTGTTTCGAGTTGCCATCGACTAGTAAATTTCTAATATTGCGCGTCTGGCTAGGATGGTGTGCTAAGAGGACACGAGGTTTATACTGGTTCTGGCAGAATGTCCCTACGTCCAGTTTTGTTGCTGCTGCTCGTGTTACTAGCACTGAAAATTTGTAATAGGGGTTACAAACGGTCGAGAGAGGGATAGGTCCCAAGTCTCTGGTGAGAGGAGCGAGCAGGTGCCGAGAGCTCGATCGCTTCCTGGCTGTGTGCTTGTGTGTTTTGATCGGTTCGGGGTTCGATGGGTTCGAGTTCCCTTCATGAGACGCTCTACTTTCCCTTTTATAGGCCAATAAAAAGCACGGGTTACAGTGGAGGGAAAAGAGGAGAATGAGAAGGAGATGAAGTCCTCCAGGATCGCCGGGTCCTTCTTTTCCTTCATACGGGTCCCACTGAACTTGTAGACGTCAACAGGGATAGCTCCACGTCATGGCCCTATCTGTCACTGGCGCCATGTGCAGGCGTCGTCTCCCGATCATGTCTCTCCACTTCGTCCTAGCGGACGTCGTGGTAAACTGACGTGCCTGTTAGTGCTCGTATGAGGGTTAGGCAGAACAGCACAGGTACGCCTGATGTTGTTCCTGATGTGAATCCCCAGGTATGGCCCGTCATGGCCACGGATTATATCGGGGCATGTCGGTCACCTCCCTGGTGTTAGAGCTTGGACCCAGTCCTATTCGCTTGGAGCTGGAGTGGTTGGCGGTGGTATGGGTCTCCGTCGGGTGAGACGGATCCCCCGGCCTCGAGGTAGGTCGAGGCAGAGTCCCTCCCAAGAGGCCGAGCGAGGCGGAGCCCGCCCCCAGAGGCCGGGCGAGGTAGAGCCAGCCCTAAGAGGTCAAGCGAGGCGGAGCCCGTGGCCTCGGTGTCGGGTGAGGCGGAGCCCGCCCATAGAGGTCAGGCAGGACAGAGCCAGCCCTCAGAGGTCGGGCGAGGCGGAGCCTGCGGCCTCGGTGTCGGGCGAGGTGGAGCCCGCCCTCAGAGGTAGGGCGAGGCAGAGCGCAAACCCAAGTGTCGGGTGAGGCGAAGCCTGCCCCTAGAGGCCAGGTGAGGCGGAGCCAGCCCTCAGAGGTCGGGCGCGGCGGAGCCCATGGCCTCAGTGCCGAGCGAGGAAGAGCCCGTCCTCAGAGGTCGGGTGAGGCGGAGCGCAAACCCAAGGGTCGGGCGAGGTGGAGCCCGCCCCCAGAGGCCGAGCGAGGCGGAGCCCGCCCCCAGAGGCCGAGCGAGGCGGAGCCCACCCCCAGAGGTCGGGCGAGGCGGAGCCCATCCTCAGAGGCCAGGCGAGGTGGGGCTAGCCCTTAGAGGTCGGGCGAGGCGGAGCTTGCGGCCTCAGTGTCGGGTGAGGTGGATCTCGTCCCTAGAGGTCGGGCGAGGCGGAGCCCATCCTCAGAGGCCGTCGAGGCGGAGCCAGCCATCAGAGGTCGAGCAAGGCAGAGCACGCGGCCTCGGTGTCGGGCGAGGCGGAACCCGCCCCCAGAGGCCGGGCGAGGCGGAGCCAGCCCTCAGAGGTTGGGCGAGGCGGATCCTGTGGCCTCGGTGTCGGGCGAGGCGGAGCCCACCCCCAGAGGTCGGGCGAGGCTGAGCCCATCCTCAGAGGCTGGGCAAGGTGGGTCCAGCCCTCAGAGGTCGGGCGAGGCGGAGCTTGCGGCCTCGGTGTCGGGTGAAGTGGAGCCCGTCCCTAGAGGGCGGGCGAGGCAGAGCCCGCCCTCAGAGGCCGGCCGAGGTGGAGCTAGGCCTCAGTTCGGGCGAGGCGGAGCCCACGGCCTCGGTGTCGGGCGAGGCGGAACCGGCGCCCAGAGGCCTGGCGAGGCGGAGCGCAAACCCAAGGGTCGGGTGAGGCGGAGCCCGCCCCTAGAGGCCGGGCGAGGCGGAGCCCGGCCCCTCAGAGGAGGCGAGGGTGAGCAGCCCGAGGAGGGTCGAGGCGTGAGCCTGCGCCCCGGTGCTCGAGGCAGGCGAGCCTGTCCCAGTCAGTCGGGCAAGGCGAGAGCCTGCCCTCGAGGCAGGCGAGGCGAAGCTAGCCCGAGAGATTAGGAGTGAGCCCGCCCCAGAGACCGGGCGAGGCGGAGCTTGCGCACTTGGGGGCGGTTGGAGCTGTAGTCGCACTCTTGACTGCTCGGATGAATCAATATTGATGGTTATTAGCTTTTTCTCTTCGGGTACTCTAGTATTGGTCCCCGACATTAAGGCTTCAAAATTGATGCCAGCAAGCCACAAATTGTAGCATTAGTTCTGTAATCTTCCCATGGCCTTGTCATATCATTTTTAGAAAAAAAAATTGATACTAGTTTCATATTTTCTGATTTAAGAAAAATTATTTGTGAAATTTAGACATTAAACCATATTTTTATTATTTTTATGTAGGATTTCACGTACCTTGTTGAAAATTAGACAACCATGCGATTGGAAATCGGAAAATGAACTTTCCCATACGACAAAAGTCATAACAAGTCTAGCCGTGATATGAGCTTGTGTTGGTTTGTGTCCAAGGAAACTTGCCTTGCCTAGGCAATAGCATCGAGTCAGATGCAACCAAATTTGGACATCTAGGATTACAATGATGGCTCGATCACGCAACTTTTCAGAGTTCAAACTAAAGTAGCCCTATATACACATGCCACCTTTGCTAGTTCACATGGTTGGACAACTTTGGAAAAGGTAATACTTTTTGAAAAGCCATCAAACGATTCGAAGTCTGACCAAAATTATAAAAGGTATTAACACTTATGATACAAATTAAGTATAATTAAATTAATTATGAAATATATTTTCATAGTAGTAATCCTTGTCGGAGACATAAATGCTAATGCTATTCACTATAAATTTGATTAAAGTTAAACTAGTTTGACTTAAATCCTATAGTTACGTCTTTTTATAGCAGGAGGGAGTGTCTTTTTATAGCCGGTGGGAGTAAGAAACATGTGATAGTAGGCTTAAATTAGCTCTAAAAGTGACAATGGAATACGCTGTGTGTGCGAAGAATACGCGATCCCAAAGCTAGCTGTCAGACAACGAGATGTGTGCAGTCGTGTTCACTGTGACCTGTCTGAGTAGGGTGCGCGCGACGTCTAGTACTTGTCCCAGCAGCGCTGATTGCGCCAATCACAGCAGCCTCTGAGACAAAGTCACAACACAAAGGCGTGGGCCACCGTACTTAGATCAGATGCATTGCATGTTGGAATTCAATAAATCAAGACGTAGGGAGCTAGGCGTGGGCTAACCCACCGTACTTAGATCAGATGCATTGCATGTTGGAATTCAATAAATCAAGACGTAGGGAGCTACCTACTCCCTCTGTCCCACTAAAAAGTATCGCTTTTTTACTTTTAAACTTCTTGTTTAATCATTCATCTTATTTAAAAATTTTATACAAATAATAAAATAAATAAATTATTATTAAAGTATTGCTAATGATAAAATAAATCATAACAAAATAAATAATATTTATATCAAATTTTTTGAATAAGACGAACTGTCAAACAATAGGTATAAAAGTAAAAAACGACATTTTTAATGGGATGGAGAGATGACCTATGCAATAGAGAGAGATCCTGACCACGCATTCATCATTGTCCGCTCGTGAGACTGTATGTGTGAGAGACAAGAGCTAGCGACTGGAGCCGATCGGTCGAGCTGGTGGGCGCGCGTCGTACGTAACATGCACGTGGTGTACATGGACGACGACGGCGACTTCAGC